GGGAAGGAGATCGGGGGGTACGCCCGGTAAGTATTGGGCTGAGCGGCATGCTTTCGGCGCCGGCAACGAGCTTGTCGAGCTGGCTAACCGTAGGCGATTTTCCCAAATCCACCGGAGGCGGTTGGCGAGGTGGAATGGGGGCGCCTAAGTCGGAGACCGAGTCTCGGTCCCGAGAAGACTCCTCAAGAAATGGAGAAGGGACCGAAGCCGAGACAGGTGGGACGACCAGGGTAATCTCCTTGGTCTTCGCCTTAGCCTTCGACGCCGCCTTGGACGGACCCTTCTTCTTTGTCGGTGCCGAAGTTGAAGAAGAAGGAACATCAGAGGAAGACTTCTTTCCCGTAGGCAATTTCTTGGATTTCGCTTTGGAAACCTTCGTGGACACCTCCTTGGATGTCGAAGGAGGGGAAGAGGAGACCAAAGTGACCGATGAACGAACGGTGGAGACCGACTGAACAGATTCCATATCTGACGGTTGTGAAGCTGAGAGAGTGCGGTTCCAGAGAAAATATTTGAGGCGTTGCTGACGAGATTTTAGGGTCGCCTTGGTGAATTCCTTGCAATGCTTGCAAGTGGTGGGCGAATGGGTCTCGCCCAGACAGAAAAGACAGAGGGAATGATGGTCCTGGAAGGGGGGCTTCCCGGAGCAAGCAGAACAGCGGCGGAAAGGTCCCTTTTTCGCTGACATAAGCCAAGCGGTGAACGAACGGTAGAGAATACTTGCAAGAGGCACGCCAGAGGCAAGGGAAGGTCAGCCGGTCCGAATTCAGGGCAACGGAGATGCGGATAGACGATAGGCAAGCCAGGTCAAGTCCAAAAAATCCGAAAATAGCGAAAGGAGAGTAAATCTCAAGAGCTCTAACCGAGAGGTTCCAACTCCGCGGGCGGATAAATGGAACTGGGGATTTTTGGCGGGCTGGACTTGCGCAGTGCAGGGCAAATCAAACATAAAAACCAAAACAATACACTTTAATGCAAACCAGACCTGAAAGAAAAAGGGTGTGGGAGGCAAAATTCTGACCAATATGAAACAAAAGTCATTGCAATCAAGTTATTTCCTCCCTTAGATAAGCAAGTTGTTTTTTACATCAATAAGGTGTAAGCAAGTTGTTCTTACATCAATAACCCACCAATTTGTGCTACAGAAAGTTCTAAGGGGGCTGTAGCACTCTGGTTATGGAATGCCTTCCCCTTGGAGGCCTGACTAGTGCTGCACTTATTTTAGTGCTGAATTAAAATCTAGCTTTTTGCCAAACATTTGGGGCGCAGTGAGAGCACGCCTCGAATTTTTAATGGGTTGAGATTGTGGGTTTTATTGTTTTCATCTAAATTGTTTTAAAGTAACCTTACTGATTGTGTCCTATTCTCAGATTGCTGATACTGAGCTAGAAATAAAAGGGAGATTAAAGGCATGCAAACTCTATGTAACTGTAGACAGAGTAAAAACACGTATTTATGATTAGTGAATGGTGAAAATATAGATTTGTATTGACTTTTCTCATGGAGATACAGTATGTATTTTTAAAGGTTTAGGTGAAAAGATTCATCTCAACATTCAGTAAAAGATACTGAATAGCAAAACTTTTTTCTCTTAAAACATCTTTTCAGTTCAACTCTCACCAGGATACTAAAAACTCTGTATCACAACACACTCTTAAATAAATGATATTATAAGCCTAGACAAAATAGGTGTTAAATAAAATAAATACAATTAAGTAACAGTGTGAGCTTCTCTGTGCCAGATCTGCAACAGTTCAAGTATTTATTTTCCTTGTAGAAATCTTTGGGCCTCCTAATTAGGAGAGATCAGCATCTTTTAAAAAAAATTGCACACATTTTGTAAATACAAAGAATATCTACTTGGCTAGGTAATTTGCAGACAAAACCCTTTCTTCTACTGCCAGTTTTGCCTTGCACAGCTTTCCATGTCAACACTTTCTGCGTGTCTGTTTACTATGTGGGAGAAAGAACTATAGTACAATTCAAGATGGTGAATCATTTTGGCCAAAGAACATCACGTCCTCTTCCCAAAAGCAAAGAAGCTGAGATGCAGTCAGTGAGAGAAAATTACACATATTCCTCTGATTTCTTTTCTTTTCTTTTTTTTAATTTACGGCTTGTATCTGCTTTATGTTTTGTTGAAATATTACGATCATGCTCAGTAACAGAACGTCCTGGGAGAGCAAAATAGAGTCCAACACACTTTATTTATCTCCCTCCCCTCCTACCCTCCTCTGTGACATCAGTCTGCCAAGGTCACTTTGAATGTTATGTAGCTGGATATCAAAATGTGGGATTACTGCTCCTCTAGACATTCAGATTTCAACTCTAGAAAAATTTAAGCAGCATGGTAATGGATTATGGGAATTGTAGTAGAAATAATCTGAAAATCCAAAGGGTTCATATTTGTGTTGTACAGAAAACATTTCAGCATCAGGAAAAAGCAAGAGGAAGTGGAGGGAGCATAAACCGAATAGATCTATTGACTGATACATGAAACGATGCAAAAAAGTACAGTGGTGTCTCGACTTATGAACTTAATTGGTTCAGGAAGATGGTTGTAACTTGAAATGGTCATAAGTCGAACCAGCATTTCCCACTGGAATGCATTAAAATACTATTCCTCCGTTCTGGCCGAAGGGAAAAAAAAATCACAAACATTAAAAAAAATCACTGCAAGACCAGTTGGAAACGCGATTAATCCCTTCCAGGCCGGGGGGGGGGGCAGAAAAGCAATCAACCGTGAAAGACCCAGTGCAAATGCAAACAAATGCAAACAAGACAAAGTAAAAACCAATCAACTGTGCAAGACCCATAGCAAATGCAAACAAGACAATGCAAAAAGAAATCAAGCATGCAAGACCTAATGCAAAGAAAACAAAGCAAAAAGCAATAACACATGCAAGACCCATTGCAAATGCAAACAAGACGAAACAAAAAGCAATCAAGCAGATCGTGGAAGATCGGAAATGGGGGGAACTAAAAATCAAACAAACTCCCCAAGACCCATCGGAAATGTGGGAAAACAATCAAAAAAGCAAGGAAACTCCCTCAGGACTCATCGGAAATGGGGGAAAACAATCCAAAAAGCAAGGAAACTCCCTCAGGACTCATCGGAAATGGGGGAAAAATCCAAAAAGCAAGGAAACCCCCAACACCCATCGGAAATGGGGGAAAATCCAAAAACCCACCAAACCTCCCAAGACCCATCGGAATGGGGGGGACCCAAAAACAAAACAAACAAACAGAAAAACCCAAGACCCATCACAGCACTGAAACATAACCCCAGCTCAAAACCACACTGCAAAAATACCCAGAGCAGTTTTTAAAAAGCAGAAAACAGCACCTTACCTTACAAGGCAGCCTGAAGCCTTCCTGCAAACACAGGAGGCAGTCCCAAGCCTCCGATGACGATGCACACTCTCTTAACTGCTGGGGCGAAAGAGCTACAAAGAAGCAGCCTTGTCGCCACCTACAGATATAAACTTGAATTTCCCACCTTTTTCCCCTGCCTTTTTCTGTTCATAAGTGGAAGCTCCGGTCGCAAGTAGAAGCAAAATTTTGCAGCTGGAGCTGGTCATAACTCGAACTGGTCATAAGTCGAGGCACCACTGTAACTAAAATACTTATGTGAAAAACTAGGAAGTTAGGAAACATAGTACCACTGCAACATCAAGCGATAGCAAATAAGGCACCACTGTAACTAAAATACTTACGTGAAAAACTAGGAAGTTAGGAAACATGGTACCACTGCAACATCAAGCGATAGCAAATTTCAGTTTGATCATCAGCTTTAGCCAATTGCCAAAGAAGAAGGTACCTGTAGTCCAATAACATCTGCTTTTCCTAAGCCTACACTAGAAAGATCACTGTCTGTTAACCTGCTTCCTATCTACATTATGGAAATAATACTGGCCTCCCTAAAAAAATGTGTCCACAGAAACTTATGCTATTAAAATCTAGTTTTTAAGAAGCCACAGGACTCTTTGGCCTAAATCAAACTACTAGTGCCAATAAGTATAGATCTACTGAATCAACTATTAACGGTGATTTGATAGTTATTGTTTGACTTATATACCACCCCACAGTGGTAAAGCACTTTCTGAGTGGTTTACAACGTAATTACACAAGGAACACTTTGGCCCCCGCCCCATGGTACTCATGTTACTGACATTGGATTGAAGGCTGAGTCAACCTTGAGCTGAGTACCTGAACTCACTGGGCTCAAACTCAGGTTGTGAGCAGAGTTCTGACTTTAGTACTGCAGTTTAACCACTGCACAATGGGTAGATACCTAACTATATTTATATCACTGTATATCTATATCTACACCCTCCCCATCATCAACACTATGACCACCAACAACCTAGGGACAATTTCTATCACTTTTCTGATGCTGAATCCCACCCTACTAATGCCAGGGCTCAAACTCAGGTTGTGAGCAGAGTTCTGACTTTAGTACTGCAGTTTAACCACTGCACAATGGGTAGATACCTAACTATATTTATATCACTGTATATCTATATCTACACCCTCCCCATCATCAACACTATGACCACCAACAACCTAGGGACAATTTCTATCACTTTTCTGATGCTGAATCCCACCCTACTAATGCAGGACATTTGTTTTGATGCAACTTTAATCAGAAAAAAGGAGAGTTCCCAGTCTATTAATGCTTGCCTGTAAATACAGCGGTTGGTCAACCTTTTTCTCTGTAAACTGCACATACAGGCAAACACTGCAACCAATTAGTTACCATAACAAACTGACTCCAGATGCTAGAAAATCAAGATGATGATAATTCACTTTCCCAAACTGTTTCTGTGTGAAACCTATTTGAAGCACAGAATTCTTGATGGCAGAGGAGTAGAAAACAGATACGCAGCAATGAAAATATATTTGAATACAAATGATTTAACAGCAGTAAAAATACTGAACAGAGTTTGTACCAAAGGAAACATACAATTTTTATAACAGAATACTCTAGTCGACATTCAGCCAACATTTCATGCATATCCAAGCTCAAGTTCAGGGGTAATTTTGTAAACTGGAAGATAACTTTCTTCTTAGTGTTTGGCTTAGTTTTCTAGGCAACTGCAATCACAACTGACAACTGTAGTACTGCGTTCCTTCTTACTTGTTAAAATAAAGGAAATCCATAATTTAAGTTATATGAACCATCCCTAGCAGATGTTCTCTTGCAAGCATTCTGAATGAATTTGGGAGACGGCTTAATTAAGAAGCATAAACAATTTATATTGTAAAATCATTATTTGGAAACTGCTGTTCAATCTTCCGTATCAAAACTGCCTCTGTCTTATTCCAAAAAAGAAAACATTTCCTAGTGTGGGGCAAGTGGAACTGAGGAGGAAAGGAGGGGGGCTGCTGCTCATGATAGACAAAGGGATGGTATGAAAACACCTAGCTACTTTAAATGAATCCAAGTCTCCAGGGCCAGATTAACTGCATCCACAGCACTAAAGGTATTTATGGACGTAATCCTAAAGCCTCTGTCTGTTCTTTGAGAATTATTGAAGAACTAGACTGGAGGTCTCCCCATTAAAAAAAAAGAACAAAAACAGTGGGTGGGAAGAGGAGAGGAGCCAGGAAACTACCAGCTGGTTAATTTGACACTGATACCAGGAAAACTACCAGAAGAGATTATTAAGCAGTTGGTCTGCAAGCACTTAAAAAAGAACAGTGACTTCTAAGGACTGCCATGGACTGCTTAAAAAAAAGCCATGCAAATTTTTTTTTGTTATCTTTTTTTGATAGCCATCACAAGGTTAGTAGATGAAGGAAAATACTGTGGTTTAATGTATCTTGATTTCAGCAAAGCTTTTGACAAGGTCGTCTGTGATATTTTTGTGATCAAGCTGCTCAAATGCACACTAGACAATGCTACCGTTAGATATATTTGCAGCTGATTGACAGGCCATGCTCAAACAGGGCTAACCAATGGCTCCTTTTCATCCTGGAGAGAAATGAGGAGCATAAACAGTTCTGTCTTAGGCCCATAAATAACAGTTGAGGAAAGTGGACATGTTTAGCCTAGAAAAAAAGAAGACTCGGAGGCGACAACTATTTAAATAGTTGTTACTGTATGTGGAAGATGGAGTAAGCTAGTATTCTTCAGCTCCATAGGGTTAAATTAATGAATCCAAATTAGAAGAAAGGCAATAATGTCTAAACATTAGGAAGAACATCCTAATAGTAACAGTTAAAAGTTGAAAGTCGAACAAACTACTTTGGAAGGTGGTTGATGGGTTCCTTTAACAGTGGATTTCCTGCCATTGCAGGGAGCTAGGCTTGATGGCCCTTTGGATCTCTTCCAGCTCTGAAATTCTGACTGGACACTTAACCATGAATCTTTAGATGGCTAAATATCAATATTTCAAAATAAATTACAGTACTTAATGTTATTTCTTGTTATATTATAATATTATTTTACTTGTCTCTACACTGACCCTAACCTGTTTAATCAGAAGTCACCCTACTAATTTCAACAGACCTCCTTCTAACGACATTTCTAATGATGACTTTGGCAAGTCATCCAAAGCACTACATAAAGTGTTTTGTGAGGATAGGCATGTTTTTCTGTTGTGTCTATCCTTTGAAAGTCTCCTTCCTCAAGAGTAGAAGGCAATCTCAATCAGTACCCCCATAAGCTCTGACAAAGCGTGTGTGTGTGTTGGCGTGGGACAAATAGCCATCTGTCCCTCTACATCAGACCTGGGCAAAGTGCGGCCCAAGGTCTACATATAGCCCGTGAGCTGCTCCTATCTGGCCTGCCAGTTGACGCTCCAGTCACTTGTTCAAGCCCAAGACAGACTGGATTTCTCTCACTGAACAAGTTGAACATCAAGCTTTTTGTCTAAAGTTGATCAGCTGCTTATCTTTAACACACTGCAAAAAACCTCTTTAGTATTTGTGAAGATTAACAAGTTTAAAATAAAAACAATCATAACATAACTGTTTCATTTTATTTTAAAGTAAAGTTGGTTCGGCCCCCAAATGCAGTTCAGATTTTTCATGTGCCCCCCCATAGAAATTAATTCCTCACTCCTGCTCTACATCTATGTGCATGCAAGCTGAGAGCTGGGCAGATTTCAAGCTCACCTAGAGTATCAAAAACTACAGCCCTAAAATCTACTAATTGGAGCCAGGTGCAACATTAATACACTTTGAACTAAAGAACTCTACAGCCATGAAATTATTTGGAGTACTAGAACTAAAAGGAGCTCAGTTTCCAAACAAAAGTCAATTTCTGGTTATGCTATGGTTCTCCGATTTCACATTATTAGGGTAGCGTCACTTTTTTTGCTGCTCTTTTTAAAAGATTGTTAACAATGATTACAAGCCATCACGTTGATTGTGCCTTATGGTGAAACCACTCAGAAGTCGTTCATTTATTTATTTCACTTAGCTCCTTTTTCTAGGGGAATTTTGGGGCTGTACAGCTTGCCTGAAGCTACATAGGCTGTTCCTCTGCTCAAAGGCACAGTGGGCAATGGAACTCCCAAGCTCTGGCTCTGCTGCCAACTCACTAAGGCTCATAATCCAGACATCCTTATGTACTTTAGATCAACCAGATATGTCTTCCAGATTATCCACAGATTCTGATCTACTTCCTATCCAACCCTCTACGGATCTCAGCTCTTATTTCAGGGCATTAATCAAGCTTAATTGCTCAACGAAGGGCACCACTTAATTCATTTTATAGCTATGAAGCCAAGATAACAAACTTTGCTGAAAGTGACCCACCAAGTACAAATAAATAAACTTGGGGACACATCTTCTGGTTCTGACTCAGCTCTCTGACCTTCCAGCATAAGCCTCATTCACTGACACAACCCTTTAAGATCAAACTGCTCACTCAAGAACATAAATAATGAAGACAACATAAAGTAGAATCTACATAATATGTACTGCATTAGTAAGATAGCAACCCATTGTTGGATTTCTTCTATGTTTCTTCTATATTATATTTCACTTGTGCTACATTTCCGCATCCATACTCCACCCCACTAGCAGCAGAAGAACAATAAGTGAGAAATGTCATGAAATGAAGTGATTGTACGTGGGACAGGAGAAGACCCTGACATGGAGCTCTCCTTTTCAGGAACATACAGTTATTTATGTATTTATTTAAAATATTTCTATTCTATCTTTCTCCCCCAAAAGACCCTAGGTGGCTTATAGCATTACAGCAGTACAGTGGTGCCTCGCTTAACGAGTGCACTGTTTAACGAAAAATCCGTATAGCTAGCATTAAAGCAGTATTTAAAAGCTAAAAACAATAAGTATACAAATATATAAAAAAGAATTAAACAAGTATATGGACAACAGTCCATTTAAAACCCCTTCCAGACCATTAGTCATTAAGGAAAAACCTGTCTTTGTCTGCCTCAGGAAGGACAGCAAACAAGCCCATATTATATGAGCCTCTAGTCTCATTTGAAATATGCAGCAGAAAAGAGAATGATGCTAGAAATAACAGAAAAATGCAAGAGCTTGATAAGAATGGCATCAAAACAACAGAAAGTGAGCAGGAGCTAATACTGAATAAATCAGAGCAGGAAATGATATATAACATTACACTGACTGCCTCAGAGAGTGGTGTACTTTCCTTTATTTGAGGGTCTTGAAAAGAGGTCAAATGGCAATGTGTCAGTGTTGGATTTGTCAGCTGTGGATTTTCTACATCAGCAGAGAGTTGGACCTGATGAACCTTGGGATCCCTTTCTGATCTACTATTCTATCATTCTGACATTGCAGACATAGAAAATGCATAATGAATTTAAATTTTAAAAAGTAATTTTAATACAATAATTTTGAAATACGATTATCCTTACAAAATGCTCTAAGTTGTTAAGAAGCCATATAATTTCTCTGCTTTTTCATCCCATGGACCACCTGGGGAAGTCAGAGCACCCCACACTGGTGTGCATACACAAACGCACGCTCTCCCTTGCACAACCGAGCACGTACTGTGATGCGACGCTTGTGCAGGCACGTGTGCGCTCGCACACATGCACAAATGGCAGCACGGTGCTTGTCTAGGCACGTGCACATGCACAAATGGCTGTATGGTGCTGGGGCGCATGTACATGCACGAATCAGCTGTGCAGGTGAGTGCATGCAGGGGGCAGGAGGTCTTTCTCCACGGTCCGGACCAGCTCAGAGCACGGAGTGGCACCGGGCCACGGACTGGGGGTTGGGGACCTCTGCTATAGTTGCTGCAATCTCTAGCATCTCCTTTCTGTGGAATTGGAATGTATATTGAACATTTCCATTCTTGTAGGCTTTTGTTTTGTTGTCCATATTTATTGGCTTATTCTTGTTAGGATGTTTTTCTGGGACATGAGCTACTGTATTTTTCCATTTATCTCTCTCTCTCTCACACACACACAGCCTCTGGGCTCAGAATGTCGGACATTACAAGTCCCTATTAAATTTGAGCCTACAGGCTCCACTTTCAACAAAGTGTGTTCCAATTAGTTTGTACAGCATCAGCTGATGTCCGTTCCATCGGGTTCATGACTGGATCAAGCTAAGTCTCTTGACTGAAGGAAGCCAGACCTCGTGACTGAAGGAAGCCTGTTTACAGAGGCAAGGTATGTGCCGTTTTGTTCTCTCCTCAGCTATCTCAGCTTAATTCCGTGTAAAAGACACCACTCAATTTTTAGGGTAAAAATCTTAGGAAAAAGTAGCATCTTATACATGGGAAAATATTGATATTCCATCTACTGCTGGAGCTTTACTTCTTCCAAGTGCTTTGGGAACAGCTCTCGCTCCAGGTTCTTTATCATAGGATTCTTCTTTGAAGGAAGTATGTCATCCTTGATCTCTTCATAGTTCTTCAGTATAGTTTCCATTTTTCTCTTTACAGTGGTGCCTCGCAAGATGATTTTAATTCGTTCCGCGAAAATCATCGTCTTGTGAAAAAATCGTCTTGTGAGGTTCCCTATGCATCGGTCTCAAAAATAAGTCTTGTGAAGCATTGGTAAAAAAAAAAGTCTTGCGAGGCACCATAGTGATCACAAAAACAATTGTCTTGCGGATTTTTCATCCCGCGAGGCAATCGTTTAGCGAAGCACCCCTGGATTTTGTCCTGGCCAGGTAATATATTCCCTTGTTGATTCTTCAACATCCATGATCTTGGTTAATGTTTTCCTTTAATTTCTTGGATCTAATGGAAGAGTTATCTTATCTTTCTTTTCATGTTGTCCCTTTCTATTTCTTTGCAGTAATCATTACAATTCTCTATATCCCTGAGTGCAGACAACAGAACATTTTACAACATATATGCTGCAGAAATGTTGTATTTAGGATTCTGACTCTAATTCTGTCACCTTTCACTTTTTACAGTATTCTTGTTTGTTAAAGTTTCTCATCATTCATCCTAACAATGTCCAGTCTCCTGATTTTGAGCGTCTCCAAGAGTAATACCATTAGGACTCAATCTCAAATCTGATCAGCAAATTAAAATATGCATCCAAGAGTGGGAAATAATATAATTATCTTCCATCAATAGAGTATTCCAATACAAAAGGTCCTATCCTTGTTATACTATGGCTGCATCTTAGCTTGTAACTTGGCACTGTAGTCTGGTAGTTCCTCTTCCATAAGTTTACATAGCCTAGATTAACCTTAGAGTAAGACAAGTTACATTTCTCCAGTTCACTTTAAATTGGATATGGCATTTTAAACTCACTTTTGCCTGGTCCTACTGCTAAAGTAACACAAAGTTAAGGGTAAAGGAGAAGTGAAAGCCTGCTTAAGAGTTCAGAATAAGATACAGAAAAATTTGCATAAAGCACTGCCAAATAATTAAAACAGTTTTTAAATGTGCAGGATAACTCCCAGAACAAAATGTCTTGGCAGAGACTGCAACAAGAAGAGCAAAAAGGAACAGCAGCCTGGAATACTCCTGGGCTTCACTAGTCTTTCAGTTCTTACACCATGTATCCATCTCAACTATCCAAAGAATACATAGGCCAAAAACAAAAGGGGGGTAGCAAGCCCCCTTAAAAAAAAAACTAAAACCCCTGAACGGAAGGCAGCAGTCAGTCAGAAAAGTACTAGAATGATCCCATTTTCCTAGCTGAAAGTTTTGCCACAGAGAAAGCTGATAAACAGGGGGAAAGAAAATGACTTTTGCTTAACAACTACTAGACAGTAACCTCACAAACCAGAGTACTTCTGCGTGAAGCAGGCACTGAAAAGACACATATCCACAGCTTATTAAAGGAAGTGTTTCCAACCTATGCAGTTTAATACAACAGCGCTCATATCCTTGCTCATGGTTTTTCCACAGGCATCTGGTTAGCCACTATGAGAACAAATGCCGGAGCAGGACCAGACAGACCTTTGGCCTAAGCCTAGGTTTTCCCCCCATATTGCTGGCTTCAGTATCTAATTGCATTATGCAATATGTGTTGATGCTGCAAAACAAGTATTATACAGTCACAAAAAATAGTGGGCTTAAACTGGTTGGTTTAGGACAGTAATGGTGAAACTTTTTGAGCCCGAGTGCCCAAATTGCAATACAAAATCAACTTATTTATTTCAAAGTGCCAATACTGCAATTAAAACCCGAATGCTGAGGTTTTACTTTAAAAAAGCAAGCAAACTGCTCCTGCACTGCAAAGGTTAAATGCTTGTTTGTTGTTTTTTCCTATGGGCAGTATTGACAAATAAATACTTACTGGTCCTCCAATCCCCCATTAGCTATACTGGTAATGGTCACCATTGCACCCCTCCGCTGGACCACTGCACCAGCAGAGGGGAATGCTGAAATCCGGGATCGGAGGACAGGGAAATATATCTCTATGGTGACTTATGGCTTGTGTGCCCACAGAGAGGGCTCTGTGTGCCAGCTGTGGCACGCGTGCCATAGGTTCGCCATCCCTGATTTAGGACATTGTAGAAAATCTGTACAGTATAAGAATAGCTCTCCAATAGAAACTACAGATGAAACACTTTGAGAACTAGCTTAGCATTTGAAGGCAGTGTTAAATTTATGTTATGTTTATATAATACATACCTGCAAGTGTGATCATCACTCACACTTGCAATTTCCTGACCTCCTTTTGGTGAAAATACCAAATCATTAACAAAATCTGAATGGCCTTCTAAAACCTGTTGAAAGAATGAGGATATAATTAAGATAGCAGGGAAGAAGGTGTCTTTAAAATGATAAAAGAAAGCAAATGTGAAACTATCCATTTAAAGAGCAATAAGGGGAAGATATGAAAGTTAGCCATCAGGATAGGCTATACAGAATATTTCACACACAAATTGTTTATGATTATAGCAATTAAAACAACCATCTTGAATTGTACATGGAAGACAACCAAAGCTAATATGTATGTTGGACTGTTAGTGTTATTGTCCTTGTGTTGACCTATGGCTGTTAAAACTAATGCTTCCAGTGATCAAGAATAGCCTTGTGTGAACTGCTTTGAAGCACCAGAGCATCACACTTAGAATAATTAGTTGTGTACGGGGTGAGAAGGACTGACTGCTATTCCACATGGTAATTAAAAAAGAAATCTGTTCTCCTAGTCAGAATGATACAGAAGCAATACAAGGTCACAGATCTGAATAGCCAGATGAGACTTAAAATTGTACAGTATCTGACAAGTGCTTCTGTCACCACCACCTAACAGGATTTGTGATTTGGTTATTCCAGTAATGTACGAAAATGACAGCAGTTCCTTGCCAATATCCAAGTCCCAGGTATGATCTATCACTAAAATCACATCAAGCACAGAAACATAACCCCTCCCAGCTCAAAACCATGCTACAAAAACAGCCAGAACAGTTTTTAAAAAGCAGAAAACAGCACCTTACCTTACCAGGCAGCCAGAATGATACAGAAGCAATACAAGGTCACAGATCTGAATAGCCAGATGAGACTTAAAATTGTACAGTATCTGACAAGTGCTTCTGTCACCACCACCTAACAGGATTTGTGATTTGGTTATTCCAGTAATGTACGAAAATGACAGCAGTTCCTTGCCAATATCCAAGTCCCAGGTATGATCTATCACTAAAATCACATCAAGCATGCAGGATTTGGGTGCTATGAAATGAGAGAGTATAACTGTGTAAACCCATCATAATGATATACCATTTTAGCTTTCTAAGGACTATAAGAAAAAATTTCTACAGCAGAATAGATTTTTTCCCCTGAGGAACGGATTCAGGTGTGAACTCTTTTCAAAGAGGAGCTAAACTGAAGAATGAATGCTGATGGCACTCTACCTTGCTAGAGTAATACACTACCAGCACCAAATGATCTTTGCTGAGCTGGGTTTCACCAAATAGGCTGGGCATAGAAACAAGCTGCAGATAATCAGTCACTCAGATGCAGTAGGGCTGAAAGTGATCCCCTTCTCCAAAAAGGAGATACAAACAAGCTGCAGATAATGTCACACAGATGCAGTAGGGCTGAAAGTGATTCTCCCTCTCCAAAAATGGGATAACATAACCATTTTTGGAGAGGGGGAATCACTTTCAGCCCTACTGCATCTGTGTGACATTATCTGCAGCTTGTTTGTATCTCCTTTTTGGAGGGGAAAAAGTCAACAAACAAACCCCCAAGACCCATCAGAAATGGGGAAAAAACCCAAAAAGCAACCAAATTCCCCAAGACCCATCAGAAAACCAAAAAACAAACAACCCCCCCAAGATCCATCACAGCACAGAAACATAACCCCTCCCAGCTCAAAACCATGCTGCAAAAACAGCCAGAACAGTTTTTAAAAAGCAGAAAACAGCACCTTACCTTACCAGGCAGCCCAAAGCCTCCCTGCAAACACACATACACACACACTCCGAAGCAGAAAGAGGCAGTTCCAAAGCCTATGATGATGGCACACTCTCTCTAACTGCTGGGGTGAAAGACCTATAAAGAAGCAGCCTCGTCGCCACCTACAGTTAGAAATTTGAATTTCCTGCCTTTTTCTGTTCGTAAGTGGAAGCCCCGGTCGCAAGTAGAAGCAAGATTTTGCAGCCGGAGGTGGTCGTAACTCGAAATAGTTGTAAGTGGGGGAATTCCTAAGTCGAGGCACCACTGTAATTTCATTTTTTTAACCCCTTTAATGAGTAGGTATGGCGTTGGGATCTTCTTTGTTTTTTAGTAGAACTCTGAGATCTACCAACAGGAGCTGGGTGGAAAAGACAGGCACTAAATGTGAATTTAGAAATTTGTTTTTGTGTAGCAGAATTGAATTGAGCTCACTGTGCTGCTACAGAAAAATTCACTCTGGGTTATTCTAAAGGTTTCTTCATTTCTGGGTTGCAAAAGATACATTTTGTTGCCAAAACAATGGAAACTAGTAATCCATGCAGATCTACTGAAAACAACTCAGATATCTACCAGCAAATCTCAACTACCTTCTGTCATTCTTGCTTTAATGTATCATAGAATTTCTTTCACCTTCAGTGTTCACTGTTTAATCAATATTTAGATTAAATATTTACAATGGTACCTCGACTTACGAACGCCCCTACCACACTGAAATACCCCGACTTACAAACGCCCCTACCTACAAACAGCTCTGCTTGCAAAATTTTGCATCGACTTGCGAATGGAGCTTCAACGTACAAACCGAAAAAGTCAGGGGAAAAGGGCGGGAAATTTAAATTTTACCCCGACTTACAAACGCCCCTACCTACAAACAGCTCTGCTTGCAAAATTTTGCATCGACTTGCGAATGGAGCTTCAACGTACAAACCGAAAAAGTCAGGGGAAAAGGGCGGGAAATTTAAATTTACGACGTACGAACCGAAAAAGGCAGGGGAAAGGGCGGGAAATTTAAATTTACTAACTGTTGGTGCATTTTTTGGGTTTCTGTGTGGGATTGTATCAGATTTGATTTTTCTTCTGGTTTTTTGTGTTGTTCCAATGCAAACCAAAGGAATGACATGTGAGTACCACAACATTTGCACCTGCAACAATTTTCTGAGAGAAGGGTTGCATTTTCTGACAGAATTGCAAGGGTACCAATATTTTTGGCCATGACTGTACATGCTCTCTGGTGTGTAGCTTCAGTTGATGAGGGGGCAAAAGTATAAGAAAATATTCAAACTGGTAAATTACATTTAAATTTGTTTTTCATTCTCACCTTATAGGTATCACTTTCTTGCAGATCTGATGTGAATAATCTTAACTTCCTATCAGCAGCAGCAGTACAGAAACTAGGATAATTAAACAGGAGACATACAGCATACAGTATTCAGTAATTTAATATAATTGAAATATATTAATGTTAAGAATGAATTTTTACATCAAACAAATTTACATTGTTCACTATGAGATGCAAGTAACACCCCACATTTCTCTGAATATACAGATGTATTACATTCAGCCAAGTATGAATCTCACTCATTCAAAGATAAAATATTACTCTATTATTTAAGGCATTTTCACTTGTTCTTTTGGTGAAAACGCACCGGGGGGGGCTTACATACAACCAATAAGAACATCTGCCAATAAGCCTATATTCTAATCTAAATGATGCAATATGAAGAAAAAAAGTACAAACACAAAATAGGGTACCAGTTCATCACATTAAATAGCATTTGTACAATGGCTAGGTGGAATGGAAACATTAGTTAGGAATCTCATTAGAAACAGCTCATGTATTAAAAGATGACATTAATCTACTGTATAATACACATTTTCAACAGGAGCCATAGGGCCCCTGGGGAGGCCATGGCACATTTGAAGAGAGCCACAGATTGGAGATAATTCTTTAGACACCACCTTATAAGGTTTGTTATCTGATTTATTCAATTTGATGTAGCTTTTAGTTTTTATATTGTTCATGGCCATGACAAAAAAAAAGGTTGAGAATGGCTGATCTGTAGCATTTGTGCAACATATATACTGTACCTTGGAATAAATTATCTCAGTGGGACTTATTTCTGAGTTAACACACAAAGAAATAAATTATTCCTCAACTTTGCATTCTGTAGAACTATTCACATTGCTTATACTTCTACTAAATTAATTACCGTATCTGAGGTGGTAAAGCATTAAGTCTAGTTTCTGGACTCCACGCAATGGCATCAACTCTAATCCCATGATGAAATATCCTTTGTGTTTTATACTGTATTCCTTCTACTTCCACATCCTCCTCCTACAAAAACAGGAAATGTTTTGATAAGATGAATAACACGTATCACTTTCTTTCAGAAATATTGTGGTAGAACAAGTGAAAAAAATTACTCATTCCCACGGAGCCCTTCTATATGGTGTTCCTAAATGTCTGTGCTCTGCACTCCCTTGAGAAAAATGGAATGTGTATATAGTAAAGATTAACAGCTGATAAACTCTCTATAATTGTACCCATACTAACAAGGAATAGGTCCTTCCAAAGTCAAAGGCACATACTTCTAGACATGGTCTAGAGGGGCGGGGTAATCAAAGGCACATACTTCTAAAATAGCCATGCATAGCTTCACTATATAAGTACTTTTATTTTTTCTGTGCTCAAGTAGTTATATGATGATTTTGAGGGGGAAAGTTCCAGATTGCCCAAGCTGCCTCACATTTTTCTCATCAGTATTCCAAAATCTGAGTGTCAAAAATACTTTATAACACTTCCTTTGGTAAAAGAAGGGACATGGTGGCGCTGTGGGCTAAACCGCAGAAGCCTGTGCTGCAGGGTCAGGAGACCAAGCAGTCGTAAGATTGAATCCACGTGACAGAGTGAGCTCCCGTCGCTTGTCCAAGCTCCAGCCAACCTAGCGGTTCGAAAGCATGCAAATGCAAGTAGATAAATAGGGACCACTTGGGTGGGAAGGTAACAGCATTCCGTGTCTAAGTCGCACTGGCCATGTGACCACCGAAGATTGTTCTTCGGACAAATGCTGGCTCTATGGCTTGGAAACGGGGATGAGCACCGCCCCCTAGAGTTGAACACGACTGGACAAAAATTGTCAAGGGGAACCTTTACCTTTGGTAAAAGAACTGATGCAAAGAAGAGCATATCAGAAGATGAGGCAGATCAATGGATGTAATTAAGGTACTTCCCCCAAACATCAATGTTAAGCCAAAACAACAACAAGAACGAACAGTGAAAACTCTACATTTATGTAACTGTTATAATTTTGTTTTTGGAATGCTAGAAAGAAATTTAAGTCACCTGCAGCATTTGGGACATAAATGCAAAAAATCATACATTTTCAAGAAAAGTGTTATTTTTATCATTATGAACAGCTATACATGCCTGTTTAGTGCACCCTGATCATGTCTGAATTTAATCACTTAGTGCACAATTTCAGCCTCAAAAAAGGAAAGCTTATTTTTACTTTCATGGCTGGTTACTTAAAAAGTGTCTATCTTGTCTCTCAGTCTACACTACTTTATGATGCAACATACAAGAATAAAAAAAAAAACCCATGAACATACAATTAAACATACACATAAAAAGCAGTTCAAAATTGGATGATAATTCTCCAAGCCAAGAGACCCAGCACTGATTGCATTATTGCTTTCCTGAGAATTACTTCAACTATCACAGACCTTAATGAGGCACTGACTACAGTACTTCTGATATTCATAAGGCCAGCTCTGGCAACATTCACTAACAGGATCAAGGACTCAAAAAGCAAGTAGAATACTAACCTGAAATCTGCAAGTTCCAATAACCACATAATTATTTCCACCATATGCAATGAGAGACTCCGCAGTTCCACTCTCAAATGGGCTGAACTCCACCACATGCACATAATCCTCACATTCCACAGTATATGTTGCAGCCCGGGAAGCTTCTTGCTTCATCTTCAGTTGAACAATTCAGATTAATAGTAGTTTTGTCAGCCAGAGAAGGATCTAAATTGTATATGTACACACAGTTAAAGAAACCATAGTTCAATAAAATGTCCCCCTAAATAAGAAATCATAAGTGTACTTTCAGATAATGGCTCCATATGTTTCTGGCACAATAGCTTCAAAGGCTTTCCCACAAAAAAACATAACTACTTCCTCTACTCTTCGCAAACAGCAAATCCCAAAACAACAACAACAACATCCTCAGGAAAAAAATAATACTGTTATATATTTTCAACTATCTCCATGCATTGAATCATAAACATGCATTACCATCCACTAAGTTCATAAACTATTCTTGCTACTATGCAGCCTTCTCACCCAAGCAAAACAGGATTACTGTACAATCTAAAAGAAATAGTACAAATGAAAAACGACATAGGCAACAGGAGGCTTCCAATATTCAGATTAATGAATTATAATGCTGGAAAGTCACCAGTCAAATGTGCATAACTTGTCAATGCCAATACCTTTCAGTACTAGGCAGAAGGGTATGATAAAATTTAACCTTCATACAGTTAGGGCAACAAACCAATTAATACATGATTTTCTGTGGTTATTATTATTATTTATTACATTTGCATACTGCCGCTCTGGCTACCAAGGCCACACTGGGAATAGAACAGAATAATCAACAAAAATAAATTAAAATAAAGTAATATCAGAATGATATAGAAGAGTAAACATACAATAAACATTATAAATTAAGAACAATATAAACGTAAAAATACAACACAAATAACATCTAATAAAAGCAATCAAGATGGTGGAACTACTAAGTTAGGGGTTGGAGAATACTCTGTATTCTGTTGGTGGAATATTCTCAAAGGCCTGCCTAAGTAACCAGGTTTTCAATGATCTCTTGAAGGTAGCCAGTGAAGGGGGCCAGGTGAATATCAGGCAGGAGCTGATTCCACAAACATGGTGCAACCTCCAAGAAGGTCTGATTTCTGGTCTTTTCCTTCCAAGCCTCTCTCTCTCTCTGAATCAGTGTCTGCAACCGCTCCACCTGGGATGAACAAGTATGGCAGGCAGAACTCATTGGAAGAAGGTGTTCTCCCAGGTACCAAGGTCCAAAACTGTTTAGGGCCTTATATGGTAATATCATCGCCTTGAAGCTGTTACAGAAATGAACAGGTAGCCAGCATAAGGTGGTCAGTGTTGGGGAAATATATTGGTATTTATTTAATCCACTCAACAGTCTGGCCACTGTGTTCTGGATCTACTGAAGGTTCTGTATCAACTTCTGTACCCAGGTTCTTCTTGCTTTGTATACTATAGCAGAACTACTACTTATCTTCATGTGGGTTTTCTACTACAGATATTGCACAATGAAACTCTAATAAATCTACTCTTGCATGTCTGAATTGCCCCAGAAAATTATGTTCTCTGTTTCAACACAATTCTTCATAAAGGTTTGGATTTTAAAAAGTGTTCTTAAAAAGCAATCTACTTATTCTCTTAGATTAGAAAACTGAGGTAATAAAAGATGTTGATAAGTAATTTTAACCTCTGGTCATAATCAAGCATTGGGAAACATGAGATTCTGCAAATGCTGGTGCAAAGCAACTCCCATCAGCCCAAACACACCCAATGGCCAAGGATGATATGAATGATATTTGGAGGATTACATGTTTTCCATCTCCATGTAAGACAGCAATATATAGGGTCCAATTATTACTACTCTATATTACTTTATTTCAAAATACTGTATTTTGATTTTGACTAAACTGAAATTCCAGTCAGAAATATTAGAGCTCACTTGCTCTCAGCTACTACACCACTCATCAACAGATGAGTAAATAGCAATGAGTGGTCATTTCGACCAGATAGGTGGGGTATAAATAGAATGAATGAATGAAGAAATAAACAAACATTTATTGCTATTACTTTTTTACTTTTAGGTAATAAAAGTAAAAAAATAATAGTAATAAAAATAATTACTGTTATTACTTTTAGGCCACTTTTTTGTAGCAATGGAAGTCTTCAAATCAAAATGTAATGTCTGTGAGAAGGCTGGTATATATACATATTAAGGGATCTGGGACCTAATTAACATTCTGGAGATTTTTCCTTATAGTCTCCCCTTTTCCTCCTATCCTACCAATATACTTAAAATCTGACTAAGCCTGGAAAAAAAATTCTAGCGCAGCTATCCTATGCCAATCAGCCCAGAATTAAAGAACCAAAGCAAAAGGGTCGTTTTCTTTCTGTCTTCGAAGGGTTGCCTTCGAGCAAGGTTTGGGTCACAAAGGCCTGCCCGAGAAGGAGCTTTTGCACAGCAGCGATGCAACAGTAAGTGTTGTGACAGTGGCACCCTTTCCTCGGGTAAGCAAAGGTGAAGACCCCTGCCTCTGAGGGAGGAAAGACAGAACCGCCCCCGCAGTCGCACGAGTCGGTACCCAAAAGCTTCGGACCCGCGAAGCTCTAATGAGGTAAACCTGCCAGGAGCCCCTCGTCTCTGGAGATACCCCTGGAGGGAAGGACGGGTGGGCAGCGGCTCCCTCTCCACGAGCGAGGTGAGGTCTAATCCATACACACCCGCAGCTTCCGCACGTGCAATACCCTCCCTCAGAAAAACAGGCAGCCAGCACACGGCGCTTCACGCCCACCGACCCTTCTCCTTGCCCCGGCTCATAAGCTCGGGAATACTACGTCCAATTTCCATACTTACCGATCCTCTCTCTCACGTAATTCTTCGCCGGGCAAACTCCCGCTAAGAATTTGTCAAAACACCAGTACTTCCGGTCCCTCGGGAAACTCCTTCCGGGCCATACGGTAGGCCGCTTCTCCATTGGCTGACGCGAGAACGTTTAAAATTAAACCGCTGCAGAGCGCTCCGCACGCGTCGTTGGCGGTTGCTAAGCAACTTCCTGTCCCATCGCTCTTTATTTGCCGGTTTCCTCTTCTTTTCCGTGGGTGACGAGGTTGTTTGTGGCTGTTTGGTAAGTGGGACTGCAACTGCTTTTAGGGGCAAGGATAGGGGCGGCGGGGGGGTTGCCGTTGCTGGGGGGGGGGGG